CACAACCTTGGTCTAGAGGAGGGCCGCATAGTCCGAGATTGTGTTCGAAAGACGAACTGTTTTGTGTACCAAACTGCGTGCCTTTTGGAATCGGACCTGTTAGCTTGTTGTAGGAGAAGTTCATGCGCTCCAGAAACGTGAGGCTCCCGAGCTCCGGAGGTATTCTGCCGGAAAGATTGTTGAGGGACATGTCTAGTGATTCGAGCTTTGTCAGGTTTGCCAGCGATGTGGGGATATGACCCATGAAAGCATTGCTTGACAAGTTGAGCACGTAAAGTTCTTTCAGTAAACCGATGGACTCGGGGATGTCTCCTCGGAATGCATTTCTTGAAAAATCGATGGTTGTGAAGGTTTTGAGGATCCGTTCGTACTCCAACTCTATCCCTTTATTCGTCAAAACTATAGAGTCCTGGTAATGACTCCCATTCATTGGAATAGACATGGACCCCAGCGGAACATCACTTGACCCCGTCGAAGAGATTGCGTCCCAACCAACAAAATAGTCTGGCGACAGAGTTCCATTGAAGTGATTGTTCGAAATGTCGATAACTCGCAGCTTCGGAAATCCAAAAGGAAACTCGGGAAGATAAACCTCACCATGAAATTCGTTGGAACGGAGGGAAAGAACTTGTAGCTCTTTCAAAGAGTTCAGCCAGAAGGGGAACGTGTCTTTGATTCGATTGCTTGCCACATTCAAAACCTCCAGACTGCTGCAATTGATCAAAGATTTAGGAAGTTTTCCCTCCAACCGGTTGCCGCTAAGATCAATTGATCTCAATTCGTTGGCATCAACAAAAATGTCTGGAAGAGTTCCGCTGAGTCGGTTGTGACGAAGACTCAAAACAATGAGAGATCCAATGGTATTCCCCAAACACCGTGGAACAGAGCCGTCGAAGTTGTTGTGTGACAAATCGAGGAATTGTAGATATGTCTGGGAACATACAGATTGGGGAATCCCTCCGGAGAAATTGTTGTTGGATCCCCCCAAATACTGAATGGAGTGAGAAGGAGGGATGAAGAGTGGTCCTTGGAAATCATTCCAACTTACATCTATTATCCAAAGCTGTGATTGGGGAAACATTTGCTGGGATGATGATGCTTGGAAACTGCTGAGAAAGTTGTGAGAGATGTTGAGGGATTTTAACATTGGTAGCATCCATAACCAGTCGGGCACTTGGCCTTTGATCATGTTGTTGGAAAGGTCTAACCAATACAAGTCTCGTTGGGTTCCTAGGAACAGGGGAAACTCAGTGATGTTGCAGCCCGACATATACAATTCTTCCAACTGCTGAGAGAAATCAGAAGCGGAAGTAATGTTGGTGGTTGAAACATGGTTGCCTGAGATATCCAATCTGCCCAGCCTTTGAAGGGGAGAGAATAGGCTCAAGTCAAGTGCAGTTGTCATCTTCAGATCTGATAAGTCGAGATATACAAGGGACTTGAGATGATACAAAGGGCTGACGTCAAGGGCGTTCCCTCCCGTGTTCCACCTTGAAAGGACAAGCACTTGGAGGTTGACTAATTTTGAAATGGACGCCATGGGGATGGGTCCGCTGAAATTGTTATCTCCCATGTATAAATTCTCTAGTCCAGATGTCGGAGGGATGTTCCCGTAATCGGCGAAGTTCCTGAGTTGGTTTCCACTTAGATCAATATAAGTCAATGAAGGGATCTCGAGTAGAGAAGAAGGGAAAGCTCCCACAAAACGATTCCCAGATGCATCGAATTCCTCCAAATCGGAGAGGGAAGTCATGTTTGGTGGGAAAGAGCCTGTCAACTCATTATCGCTGAGATGTATATGAGACAGCTTTGTTAGATTCAATATTCCAAGGGGAAAGCTGCCACTGAGCCTGTTCCTGGAAACATCCAGGTAGGACAGTTGGTTTAGGTCGAAAATGGAGGAAGGAAACCCACCGGTAAATTCATTATATGAAAGGTCGAGGGTGGTGAGATACGAGAGGTTTCCGATCGAAGACGGAATCCTCCCTGAGAAATTGCAGTCACGAAGTGACAGAGCTCCCAGATGCTTGAGGTTGCCTATAGATTTTGAAAACCCACCCGAAAAGGAAGTGTGAGAGAGATCCAACGTTACGAGAGAGTCGTTACCGTAAAAATCAGGGAGGTGGCCTCGCAGATCCTCATTAACAGACAAAAGAACGGATCGAATGGAAGGCATTCGCAGAATATCGCCAGGAAATTCACCAATCAGACCGCAACGGTCTAGAGAGAGGGAAGTGAGGGAGGAAAGGTTCAAGAGGTTGTGGGGAATGACAGCAGAAATGTTTAGATAACTGAGATGGAGATCTCCAAGGTGAGTCAAGTTCTGGGCAATTTTACTAAGAAAGGATTTCTCAGGGTAAAGTGAATTATAAGAAAGATCGAGGGATACCAACTTGGTAAGATGGAGAAGCTCGGTCGGAACTTGGCCTGAGAAGGATGAATAAGAGAGGTTGAGATGTGTTAACCCCACCAGTTTGCCCAACTCAGACGGCATTGGAGAATAGCTGAAGTTGTTGAAAGCCAGATTCAGAGTCCGAAGATGTGGCAGCCTAATTAAGAGACTGCTGTTGGAATGGAAGCGGCCACTGAGACAGCTGAGGCTAAGATCGAGCCCTATCACCTCGCCGGACTTGGGATGGCACGTGACACCTTCCCAGGAACAACAGTCAGTGGTGGTGGTGTTCCCCCATGACTTTGTCTTGGGATAACATGCCAGATTTCTTCCAAGAAGGTGTGTGTAATGGTAAAAGACAGGCACAATTCCCTCAACATACGGGTCATAATAAAATGACTGCTTCTGTACGTGGAAAAGGTGTTTGAACTCCAAGAGAGCATCCCTTTGGTCGGGGAGGCACAAGCGAGTGGTAGGGGGGGAAGCAAAAGCAGTGAGGAAACTGGAAATAAAGAAGAACAAACAGAGAAGAGTGCTTTGAACGATGGAGCCTCTCATCCTCTTTCAAGATTATACACAAAGTGATGGTTTTGTACATTCTATATCGGCCATCTCCATCTCTCTATATATATTATTACTTTGACTTACGTAACAGTCTGTGAAATGAATTTCGCAATTTGGACAGTCATTGCCGTGGCCAATGGTTTGATCTCTCTTTTTTTAAGTCAGTGCACACTTTATTACTTTGACTTAGCAAAGTCATTGCAAGAAATAATTCCAGAAACAATGAAGAAAAGTCCCTCTTTGAACAATCTTTCGCAGTGGGCACAAGAGATAATTCACTTCGATTCGGTCGAGCAGTCCTTTTCATTGATTTATACAGAGAATATGGCGTGATTATGAAGTTAATATTATTATTATTAACTATCACAATGATTATTTTCATTAATCTATATTTTTTTTAAAAAGAATAAAAATTTGGTCAAATAATCACATATTTTTAATTTTCCGAAAACTAATATTTTATAGATTTAAAAGCCATTCACGTGCTGTTACAGTTTAAATCTTAGTTAGTTTATGGCCACTGGAACCTGAAATTGGCTAGTATTGGAAAAGAGTGTAACAATTCACTAACAAAAGGGCATTCAGCTACACTTCTTGAAGATGACATTCGTCCAACTTTGCATGTCAATCGCGTCTTTTATAATGTTTTATCCAAGAGGCTCTGCAGTTACAGTAGTCGGTTTTAGAATCTTGCAACTGAAACGTGAATAATTATGTCTTGCACATCTTTTGTAATGTTTTTTTGAACGTACCGAAAAGATTGGATTCGATAAAAACAATCCCGTAATTTTATATATTTTTTTTAACGTACCAGCCCTGATGGGAACGATTCATGGGACATGCACGAAGAGATGATCAAGAACTCAGGCGGTACAATTGCTGATATTCTAACACCTCCGGTTTCATTCCAAGGCCTTCAGTGTCATTGCCACAGCTCTTACTGTAACGATCCGAGACCGCTACGAATTGTCGAAACTGCCCCCACACAGCAACTCGAGACCTTTCAGCGTGTTTTGTCCTCACTCGCACGCATACCGAGACACTTCCCAGTAGGTCACCCATCATGAGATTGCTCCAGAGTCAGCACGCTTAACTTTGGAGTTCTCTCAGGATAGTCAACCAAAAAGGTAGGTGCACCTTGTTGCTATGAGTAGCTCAACTAATTCTTTTATGTTATCTTAGACTGTATAGTCCCATACCTATACAGCCCTCGGATCTCTCTCATTCCGGTGTGTTCGATTCATCCCTGTACCCCCTACCCAGAAGCTCGTCAGGAGCCGCCCCTTGTCCGTGCCTCTGCACCGGCGATCACTCCCCGCCCTCCTACGGTACTCTGGGTTGTCACACTTACTCTGTTTCATCTGCAGCTGAAGCTTCCTTACCGAGTTGTATCCATCGTCTCTGGAGCTCTGAACGATGCTGCTGCGAAAAAACTTGATCTGGAGGCGTGGTTCCCAGCTTCCGAGGCTTACAGAGAGCTCGTCTCCTGCTCCAACTGCACAGATTACCAAGCACGAAGCCTCGAGATCCGATATGGCCAGAAAAAGGTATTTGTATATTGGCGAAAATTAACTTGTTGTCCAATATCGCAGGTATTTGATGTTTTCTCAATAGGGTAAGCCGTTGGAACGATGTTTTAACGTCGTAGACTTTTCTATGTTATGAAGCAGAGCAATGAGCAGACGAAGCAGTTCGTGCATCTGCTGAACTCGACCCTGACAGCGACGGAGAGGACCATCTGCTGCATCCTGGAGAACTACTAGACAGAAGACGGCGTGGAAGTCCCCTGCAGCCGTTCATGGGTGGAAAGACGTTTTTGCCCTTCAAGGTGTTAGTTATTTTAGAGTAGATTGGTGGACTTTAAAATCTCTCAAAGGATTCTTGTTTCACGTGTATTACAAGTGTGGTGGAGGAGTAAAATGCTTGTAAAAGACGTGTCGTGAATTGGTAAAGTGTTAAGGATTAGTCGGAAGATATTGAAGGTAGCTCGTTTTTCCCTATGAAACAAAACTGGAAAAAATGAGCGACCGCTCAGGAAAATGAGCGGGTAGCTCGGAAAATGAGCGACCGGTCAGGAAAATGAGTGGGTAGCTCATTTTCTCTGATGAACAAAACTGGAAAAAATGAGCGACCGGTCAGGAAAATGAGCGGGTAGCTCATTTTCTCTGATGAACAAAACTGGGAAAAATGAGCGACCGGTCAGGAAAATGAGCGGGTAGCTCATTTTCTCTGATGAACAAAACTGGGGAAAATGAGCGACCGGTCAGGAAAATGAGCGGGTAGCTCATTTTCTCTGATGAACAAAACTGGGGAAAATGAGCGACCGGTCAGGAAAATGAGCGGGTAGCTCATTTTCTCTGATGAACAAAAAATGGAAAATGAGCGACCGCTCGAAAAATGAGCGACCCGCTTGATTTTTCTGAGTTGTTCAAATGAACGAAAAATCGTGTCTGTTCGGAAAAAACTTCCCTATCCTTGCACCTTTTGACTTTTAGAGTGTTAAAAACATTCCTAGACGTCTGAACACAGATGAGTATGAAATCTAATTGATTTTTGAGAGATTTGTGAGCCTTGTTGGTGAAGAAATTTGCTACTTCTTCTCCATCTTTTACTGTTCATCTTCTTTCTCGGGTTATTCTGTTTCGGGCAACGTTTGAGGAGCAGATCAATCGTTGCTGGTCTTCTTTGTATCTCTAAACGTATTCTCGGGATTCTCCTTTGCTCGGTGGGGAGGGAATAACGTTTTAGGAAAGTGAAATCACGCCTAGAAGATTATATCCGGGTTCTTACGTTTTTATTTCGATTTCATTGATTTTGTTGTTCTTTCCTGCTGTATCCAGACCCATTTTTTATTAACAATCTAAAACGTTATCCCTTATTTCGGATACACGGGGAAGGGGGAATCGATTAACGGGTATGGGTTCTTCGGTGAGAGATCTAACTCTTGATTTTCACAAACTCGAGAAATTCGAGGGCGTGGCTTTCCGGCGGTGGCAAAAGAAGATGAAATTTCTTCTTACTACATTGCACGTGGCGTATGTGATCAGCACTCCACGACCGGAGGAGAATGAAGAGGAGACGCTCGCTCAAGCACGCACAAGGAACAAGTGGGACAACGACAATTTATGTGTGCTGCGGACACATATTGAACGGTATGTCCGATGCCCTTTTTGATGTGTACCAAAATATAGAGACTGCAAAAGAATTGTGGTCCAAATTGGAAGAGAAATACATGTCGGAAGACGCCTCGAGTAAGAGGTTTCTTGTAAGCGAGTTTAATGCTTACAAGATGGCGGACGCAAGACCGGTTATGGAGCAATTTCATGAGCTCCAGAGGATCTTGAGTAGTTTTACTCAACATGAGTTGAAAATGGATGAAACTATTATGGTTTCTTCCATTGTTGACAAATTACCACCGTCTTGGAAGGACGCTAAACGTTCCTTGAAACATAGGAAGGAGGATATGACCCTTGAGCAATTGGGGTCGCATCTTCGGATTGAGGAAAACTTTCGAATGCATGACAAGAAAGACACACATGTTTCTTCGTCCTCTACGGTTCATGTGGTGGAGGAAGAGAAGAAACGGGGCCAAAAGAGGCCAAACAAATCCCCGAAAGGCCACTCAAACAAAAGGCCTAAGCCGAGTGGGAGTTGCTGGTTCTGCAACAAGTCCGGACACTTTAAAAAGGATTGTTATTCTTACAAGAATAGAAAGAAGGGTCAAGGCCAAGGCAAACACGACCAAGGCCAACCCAACCAAGGTACTATTACTCTTGTAGACACAAATTCGGTTATGAATTTTGTGGCTATGATTTCTGAGTTGAATCATGTGCAGGAGAGTGATAACTCTTGGTGGATTGATTCGGGCGCTACGAGACACATATGTAAAGACCGCAACCTATTCAAGACGTTTGAGGACGTCAAGGATGGAAGCGTGCTTTACATGGGCAACGAATCTACGGTTGACGTCTTGGGAAATGTACAAGTAGATTTGTTGTTTACATCCGGGAAAACTCTTACTCTTCAAGATGTGCTTTATGCACCAGATGTTAGGAAGAATCTTGTATCGGGTAGCGTATTGAATCGATTCGGGTTCAAAATGGTGTTTGAGGCTGATAAGTTTGTATTGTCCAAAGGGGGGATTTTTGTTGGACAAGGCTATCTATGTAATTCGATGTTCAAACTCAGTATTAATAAACCGAGTATTTCTTTGTATGTTCTCTCTTCCAATGTTTCAGATTTATGGCATGCTAGATTAGGTCACGTTCATTTTAAACGGATGCATGTAATGTCTAAGTTAGATCTTATTCCACCTTGTGAATTGGAGAATGATCATCGTTGTGTTACTTGCATGAAAACAAAAATCACGAGGCTGTCATTTCCTAACGTAGAAAGAAGTTCGGACACTCTAGAACTTGTACATAGTGACTTGTGCGATTTTCATAGTACACCGTCTCTAGGAAATAAAAAGTACGTAGTTACGTTTATTGAGGATTCGACTAGGTTATGCTACGTTTACTTGTTGCATTCTAAAGACGAAGCTTTGGATAAGTTTAGGGTGTATAAGTCCGAGGTTGAAACACAACTCGGGGTTAAGCTCAAGAAGCTTAGAACCGATAGGGGAGGAGAATATTATGATCCGACATTCTTTGAATCCGTAGGCGTGATTCATGAGACGACCGCTCCGTATACACCGCAACAAAATGGTGTAGCGGAAAGAAAGAATAGGGTGTTGAAAGAAATGGTAAACTCCATGCTTTCTTTCTCGGGATTAAGCGAGGGTTTTGGGGGAGAAGCCATGTTAACGGCTTGCTACATTCTTAATCGAGTTCCCTCGAAAAAGAATAAAATAACCCCATATGAGCTATGGTATAAGCGAAAACCAAATCTGAATTATTTTCGGATTTGGGGTTGTCGGGCAATAGTTAAAGTGCCGGAACCCAAACGTAAAACATTGGGTGAACGAGGTATCGAATGTATCTTTATAGGCTATGCTTCTCATAGCAAGGCCTATAGGTTCTATATTATAGAACAGAATGACTATATACCCGTTCACACGGTTATAGAGTCGAGAGATGCATTGTTTGACGAGAATCGTTTTTCTTCGGTTGAAAGACAACCTCGAGCTATACCAAGCTCAAGTGATCGAGTAGTCGTTCATGATGAAGGACAAAGTGAACCTCGTAGAGGTAAGCGTATAAGGAAAAGAAAAACCTTTGGTCCGGACTTTCATATGTACCTAGTAGAAGGTACTAATGAGTCAATCGTGACTCAACTCGCTTATGTTTACAATATCGAGGAAGACCCTAGGTCTTTTGATGAAGCGATGAGATCGCAGGATATCGCATTCTGGAAAGAAGCGATAAATGATGAGATGGACTCCATCATGAGCAACAACACTTGGATCTTAGTAGATCCTCCTCCAGGTTGTAAACCGATTGGTTGTAAGTGGATCTTCAAAAAGAAGATGAGAGTCGATGGAACTATTGATAAGTTCAAGGCTCGTCTAGTAGCTCAAGGCTTTAGACAAAAAGAAGGCATCGATTTCTTTGATACGTATGCACCGGTAGCTAGAATAGCTACGATAAGATTGTTGATTGCTCTTGCAGCGATAAACAATCTTGTGATCCACCAAATGGATGTCAAAACGGCATTCTTGAATGGTGATCTAGAAGAAGAGGTGTATATGAAGCAACCAGAAGGTTTTATCCTATCGGGACAAGCACACAAGGTGTGCAAGTTAGTCAAATCGTTGTATGGGTTGAAACAAGCACCCAAACAATGGCATCAAAAGTTTGATGAGGTCGTTTTGGCTAATGGATTTCGTCTGAATCAATCAGACAAGTGTGTATATAGCAGGTTTGATGATAACGGTCATGGAGTTATCATTTGCTTATACGTGGATGACATGCTCATATTCGGTACAGAATTAGAGCAAGTCAAGAAGACAAAAGACTTCTTGTCATCGAAGTTTTCGATGAAAGACTTAGGTAAGGCTGATGTTATCCTTGGCATTAGGATAAAACGAGATCAAGGTTCGATAACACTATCTCAATCACACTACGTTGAGAAAGTGTTAAAACGATTTGATATGTTTGAGAGCCCTCCGGCTTCTACTCTGATGGATTGTAGCGCTAAGTTTGCACCTAATAGTGGGGAACCGGTAGCTCAACTTGAGTACGCTAGTGTCATTGGTTGTTTGATGTATGCTATGACTAGCACTCGACCCGACATAGCATACGCAATAGGGAAGTTGAGCAGATACACGAGTAACCCAAGCGTACATCATTGGAATGCTGTACGGAGAGTACTTCGGTACTTGAAAAAGACAATTAATTATGGTCTACACTACACGGGTCAACCTTCGGTGTTAGAAGGATACACCGATGCGAGTTGAAACTCTAGTGAAGAGGATTATGCCTCGGTTAGTGGATGGCTTTACCTTTTAGGTGGAGCTGCGATTTCTTGGGCTTCCAAGAAACAAACTTGCATTTCGGATTCGACCATGGCGTCGGAATTTATCGCCTTAGCAGCTACTGGGAAAGAAGCAGAATGGCTAAGAAATTTGGTATTCGAAATACCGTTATGGCCTAAACCGGTATCGCCTATTGCAATACATTGTGATAGTGCTGCGACATTGGCTAAGGCATATAGCCATGTTTACAATGGAAAGTCTAGACATATCGGGTTAAGACATAGCTATGTGAATGGTCTTATTAAAGTCGGGGCTATAATGGTGGATTTTGTGCGGACCAAACAAAATTTGGCGGATGCTTTCACAAAAAGCTTGCCAAGGGACGTGGTCCACAAAATGTCACAAGGGATAGGACTTGAGCCGGTTTTATGAATTGCAAGTAAAAGAATCTCAACTCAACGTCTAGTACAACACTAGATCTTGAGTTCAATGAGTTAAATCCTTTACTATGTGATTGTAGATGCTTCACGACAACACATCCCGAGGTAAGCATCTAGGTTATGCAATGTAAAGAGGATGTTTTAACTTAATGAGTCCTTAGACAAAGTGCTTAGTTGCAGGGCACGATATCATAAAGGATTCACCTATACAAGCATGAAGTGGGGCCGCTTCAAGATGTTGGTGGCTCAACATCCATGTGCTTGTGAATGGATATGGACACATGGCCATTATAGTGTCAAGGATTGCAGAAAAACTTGTAGTGACTTTGTGTGTGTTTTGTACTCGGTAGCTCAATTAGGATTACTAGGTTCAATCGTTTCGACACCTATGTAATTCGAGTTTATTGTTGTACGTTACACTAAGTGGAAGTTCAATCGAAAGATACTTTCATTTATGCACAAAGTTGTGGGGATGACGGATTGTCGCTCGGTTTCCATGGATAATTTACTCTAAAATGGTGGAGGATTGTTAGTTATTTTAGAGTAGATTGGTGGACTTTAAAATCTCTCAAAGGATTC